ATAATATCCTGTCACAGAACTTACCGAAGAAGCAAAATATCCTGTCACAGAACTTACGTTTTATATAAATATAAAATAGATGGATAATGTTTATCCTTTATTTTTCTATGTAGGCATTTGGGTTGTTTTTTAAATACTATTACAGCTAGATGCTGAGCTGTTTAAAAAGGGCTAAATTCTTCCATCCTGTGTAAGGAAGACACAAAAGCATTTATTTTTATAGCCAGATTGGCTTTAATTATACAGCATTTAGCCCCCGAACGGTGGCCTGGATTCTCGTATGGGTGTCAAGGTACTTGGTAGCCCCTTGAGACTTGCTGGGATGGGGGGAGAAGGAATGGGGACACCACTGTGGGGAAACTGTAGGACACCAAGGAGGGGCACCCTAAAATACCTGGTCACTTCGTGGGGGAGAGGGGGAAACTATCAATTCAATTTTTTATAAGGAGACTCTTAAAAAAAATGTAGATATTAAAGAATAGTATTTTTTTGCAAACACTTTTTTAAAGGTACATTTTTATGGTGTGTGATAGCTGAACAGCCTTCATCCTCCCTTAATTTATTCATACTTCTTTTTCACTAAGGCTCTGATCCCGCTTACAGGAGCGACTGTGCACATCTCGATAGCTGGTGGGAGGGAAGTGGGGTGCACGGAGCTCCTCTGCTCCCTGGGGGGGGACCGGAGTTTCTGTTTACAGTTCGGCTGCTGAGTCGCAAGGGTCGCATCCCGGCAGCACCAAACCAGCAGCAGGCAGCGAAAGCCTTTGGAAAGTCTTCCCTGCAGAACCGAAGCCACCTCCCAGCACGTGTTTGACAATAAGCTGCTGCTCATCTCTGTTGGGGAGGGGAAAAAAAAAAAAGATAAGCTGCTGCTCATCTCTGTTGGGGAGGGAAAAAAAAAACCACAACCTAGAGAGGTTCCTTGTGCTGTGGGTTTGGTTTTGCTGCTGCGGGATGCTGAGCTTTGCGGTGGCCAGCAAAGCTGTGCCCGCTCGGGAAGCGTGGCAGCCTTGCTGCATGCCTTGCTCCTCCTGGGAATGGCTCTTCCAAACCGAAACGCATCCTTTAGCTGTTACTTGGGTGATCAGTAGCTAATGAGGGATTTTAGGGGCCTGGATGTGTAAATATAAGTTACACCAACTGGCAAATCTCCATCCTCCCTGGAACTTGCCCTTCAGCAGCAGCTGATGTCTTGAGCTGGTACCGTCTCCTTACTGGTGTGCACGGGGCAGCTCGTGCTCAGCTGTGGCGATGTGGCTTCAGCTTGCTGTCGGGGGGGGGGGGCGTGGTGAGAGGGGGGGGGGGCGGGGGGGGGGGGCTGCGATGCGATGGGCAGCTTTTGGGCTGGCATGTATCACTGGAGGTGTCCCATCAGCCAGGCGCGTTGCGTAGGATGACACTAAGCAGAGCTAATCCTTTTGCTCTGTTATTTGGAGAAGGTAAATCAAAGAGCACCTCTCTTAGTGGTGTTGCGTGTGCCTTGTGTAAATTAACCTTGTACCACTGATAATGATGAAATGAGCTTCTTGATGCCTTTTTGTCACTTAAACTGAATGAATCACTGTGTCAAATGCACCCTGTGTCTTAAAGTGTAGAAATTGTAAGCTTGAGGTCACTGGTCTCAGTGGTGCAGCTGGAGAACGCCCTCAGCTCTCTGCACATGGAGATCCTTGAGGCTGGAGGTCTTTGAGCTGTCTGTTAGCCTTGGATGTCTTTTTTTTTATTGACTTTAGAAACTGGAGAGTCACTAACAGGAACCAGAACTGCACAAAATATTTCCATCGGAGATGGGCATAAACACTTAGATGCAAATTTTGGGTCACTTTAGTATTAAAGAGGCAAACTGTAGCATAATGTGGAAGACGACAGCTTTCAGTGCGACTTCAGTAGCTAGGGGTCATACTTGGGAAGCGGTCCCCAGTGCATCATCCTCTTCATCTGGCTGCTTAGCTTTAATATTTCTGACTTCACCTTGGCTCATCTGAGAGAACTTCCATCTCCCGTTTGGAGTAACCTGTGAGTAGCTGGGACACGAAGGCTGGACTTGCTCGGGGCAGAGCCCGTGGCTGTGGAGCGATTGGGAGGGCGGTCGTGGTTTTGGCCAGCTGAGCATCGTCCTTGGAGGGGGAGGTAGCATCCCATTTTGGTTGCTAGCCAGAGCAGGTCAGGGAACCTCCTGAGTGTTGAGCGCAAATAATTATCAACCAGGTTTTCCTGGGAACTTGCTCTGCCTCGAGCTGCGAGTGGGTGAGGAGCGCTTGTATGTTTATAGAGCTCTTTATGGATTACCCCGAGTACCCAATAAAACCAGAGTTCCCATTCTGCAGCTGGGAACGTGCCCAGTTGGTCTAACAATTGCAGAGGTCTCTTACATGTTTAAAATGTTTCCTGCTGTACGTAATGCTGGATCCCCAGGTGAAAGCCCCTTCACCAAAGTCCCTCCTCATCTCTTCTGGGTTTGCATTTGAAAGTTTTGCTGCGAGTCTGAAGTTTTATTTTAACCTGGTATGTGAAACGTGTACTGCTGCTTTGTCTGCAACAAACGCACATATTTAAGGGGGAGGATGAGAAACTTTGTCTGCAGTTCTTAATTTTTTATTTTTTTTGCCTGCCTTGGAATTTAATGTGTTTCCTTAAATGTATATTTAACAATGCAGGAGTTCATTTGTGAAATGCTGCTACAGTTGTATCACTGGAGCTCAAGGAAATAAAATATTCTGATTTTTGTCCTTTTGGGCTCACGCTTATGGCTTTCCTTAGCGGTGTAGTTGGGCATCGAGCTCCAACTGGGGCTGAGCAGCAGGAGGGTGTTGATGCCCAGCTGCCACCACACAGACAGGCTGATCTCTGGAGGAATGGTGCCTTCTAGTGTTGCCTGAGCACTTGGCAGACTCAGCACCTCACCATCTGAGTCGGATAAAGCCCTTCGTCAACACGCTGGAGGAAGAAAATACTTCTGGGAGGGGTTTTGCAGCCTGGCAGGAGCTGACATCTGTATCACGGGCTTGCAGTCCTCTAGGAGCCGCTGGAGAGTTTTGAAACAGTCCTCCTGGCAGTGGATTGGCTTCCGAGATTTGCAAAGCAAACCCACAGACTGTGGCTTGTTCAGCAGCAAAGCAAATTCCCAAACTGGAGTTTCTTCCCCCCCCCGGAAGAAAGTGCATGGGGTGAAGGCCCTGGGGGAGCTGCTGGTTTGCTGAGGTTTCAATAATATTTGCTGCATAATTTGAAGGGAAAAGGATATTAAGCTGCTTTAGATCTTACCTTCCCCTTCAATAAAAAGGAAAAGACACATTCATTGGTACGGTTTCTGCACAGCACTGGTGCTGGGGGAGGAATGCTTCCCTTAAAGCTGGCCTGAGCAGCATCAGGTTGATCAGAGCTACTGAGCTGCCCCCAGGGCACCCGAGACCCCCGGGGCTTGGCCGAGGTGGGCCCTCAAGGAAAAAAGTGAGTCTTATCCAAAACATTTCAATTATGAAATCTCCAGCACAGAGCGACTGTTTTGGCTCTGGCCAAATGGAAAATGTTTCTGGCCCCGAGGTGGCTCCGTGCGGGGATTTTGGTTTCCGGCTTCGTGTCTGACGCAGGTAGCTTTGCTCCGGTCTGGTCCCGGTGATAAATCAACTGTGGTGTTTGCTGTCGCTGCTGCTGCCGCCGGAGTTCAGGGGCTCCGCAAGCAGAGTGGCATCGCTGTGGGGCGGGATGGCCGTGCTGTGGGGCGGGGGGTGCCCGAGCAGCCTGTTTTGTACCACGGACTTCGCTAACGCTTGGACACGTGCGTAAGCAGAAGGAATTCCTCATGTCTTTTGGTGGTGTTGGGGGTTTTTTTGGGGGGGCCAAAGTTTGGTCTATCCAAAGTCTACCGTACCTTATTTCTAAATTTGAATCTTTCCAACATTGTCAGGAGGATCTGGGGTTCTTGCAGTTCCCTTTCCTCCTTTTCACCTCTAATAAACCTGGCAGAACCGCGTGGTCCTTGTTCTGAATCTAGCATGAAAACCAGGTTGTCTTAAAATAAAATTTCAGCTTACCAAGCACTGTGCTTCTCTGATTTAAAAAGAAGAGTCTGAAACTTCTTGCTGTAAATCTCCAGCCTTAAAAAACTGGAGCTGGATCTGAAGGATTATTTTGGGAGCAGCCTCGTGTAATTTCAACAAGGGGATGGAGCATAATTTGTTTCCTATCAGTTTTGTTTAGAAAACGACAGGTTTGGAATAGATGCTGATCCCCAGGGCATGCACCTTCCAGTGATATCGGAGGCATTGATTTCGGCGTGTTCCCAGTGCAGCAATTAAGAGATGCACCTAAAATCCTAACGATGAACTTTTGCTGGGGTGCAGCCAGCCATCAGTTCTGCCCCAGCCCCTCAGCTGGAATAATCATGGTAATTACAGGGTTTAGCAGCTAACACCTACCTGGGGAGGGAGGGGGTCTGGGCTGGCCGCAAAGGGAAGCGGCAGCAAGATGCTGCTGTCCTTGGTCCACCCCAAAGGAAAAAGGACTTTCCTTTTCTCGGCTGTTCTGCCCTTTCTCCTTTCCTTGTTTGTGGGTTTTGTTTTTTTTTTTAATCTTCAATGAAAAATCAAGAAGGTGCAATGGATCGTTGATGTCCTGGGGTGGAGAACAGGCTGCCTCACCTGGCTGATGAGCTTAAGAGACAAGATCAAAAGGTAAAGTGCTATTTATGCTCAGCAAAATGTTTTTGGCAGGTTTATATTTCTGTTTGTGTTGTAGAGCAAATATTTAACCTCCCTTCCCCCTGTGCAGTAAACGTGTGTAGTCCTGAAAGGTGAGGTATGTAACACACTTCATGCATACCTCTTAAACACT